AGCTTAATGTTAAGACTTATTTAACTACAGTAAACAATAACAGGAAATAAAACATAGTAAGATTAATAAGGTCCTATATAATTAAAACAATTGTGGAATAGAAAATAAATAGCAGAAATATAAGGTGTATGTATGAGTTTAAATAATATAACGCATGATGTCATGATGACAAATAAAATACAGTTTAGAAATCAATGAATATAAAAAAATGTACATAAGTAAAAATAATATATAGCATATATAGTTAGATACTGTTATACACCATAGAGAAATATTGCGTATGAAGGCATAATCACATGTAGAGCCTAAGTCCTTATTTAGACCCTTAATGTGAGTTTTTAACCGGATTATCCATTTCATTTCTGCGTTACGTCGTTCTTGTGTTGATTTTAAAAATTGCAACCTATTATTATAGCCCTAAAGTCATTGATGGTGTGATTAGGTGAATTAAAATGTACACTAACTGGGCAGTTGAGTTTGTGTCTTATAGATGATTTGTGGTTGTTCATTCTAGATCTGAAAGTTAGACCAGTTTCGCCAACATAGTTTCCCTCGTTGCATTTGTTGCAGTATATGAGGTATATAATATTTTGGGCAAGTTACAATTCAGTACTGGTGGCAGGATTGTTGTTTGTGTTCCTGGTGGAGTAAATGAGCTGTCAGTATTGATGATGTTGCATAATTGACATCTAGAGCTGTTACATTGTGTGTTGCCATGTATCGGTTTAGTGGAGGGGAGTTTAGATGAGGTTAACTTTAGTGGACTTTAAATTAGGGGGTTGCCTACGTAATAGTAGAGGGGGCTGTAAAAATAATTCTCTAATCGATGGGTCTTCTTGGAGGGAGAGGAAGTCTCTTTTAATTCTCTTAGACAGTTGCAGGATGCTGGGGCTATAGTCAAATACCATAGATAGCCTATCATTGTTAAATTTAGGTCTATATGTGAGAAGATCAGTGCGAGATTTACGTGAGGCTTTTTTAATCTGGGTTTTTTTTATTACATTTAATGGGTAGTTACTTGACATGAACTTGCCAGTGAGAAGAGATATGTGTTTGTTATAGTCGGATGGACATGAGCGGATTCGTTTGAGACGCAGGCATTGACTGTAGATGAGCGATCGTTTAAGACTCATAGGGTGTGAGCTTAGTGGTGTGAGTTGGTGGTGTGAACTGATTACCGCTTGTTGGACTTTTGTAGGTCTTTGAGTTAGAGTCAGCGGTCTCCGGCTTGTCTTTAAAGTACTCCTTTAACCTAATTCTCCGGATGAATTGTTCCATGTCAGAGCATAGGTTCACAGCGTCAAGTTGTCGATGTGTGGGGCAAAATGACAAGCCCTTTTCAAGTACGGAGTGTTCATCTGATGTGAGAGAATACATAGATAAATTGACAACACTGGTCTGTAAATCACGCTTAGCTGATGTGAAGATCCATTTAGGAAAACAATTGAATAGGTTGTTAGTTCCATTGTTGCACATATTGTGAAGGAGTGGGTCATTCTTCGCTAGATTTTTAATTTTCTCAAGTTTAGAGTTGAGTCGGTATCGAAATTCCTTCTTGTACGTAAAATCGAGAAATGCCAAAATGTTCTTACTCTCCAACGGGGTAACTAACTGTGAGAGTTAGTTGTTGCTTAGATGTGTCGAAATTCTGACAAAGATTCTGTTGCTTACTGTAAGACACGCTAATAAATAACTCATACATATACCTTATATTTCTGCTATTTATTTTCTATTCCAGAATTGTTTTAATTATATAGGACCTTATTAATCTTACTATGTTTTATTTCCTGTTATTGTTTACTGTAGTTGATTTTTAATTTTCTCAAGTTTAGAGTTGAGTCGGTATCGAAATTCCTTCTTGTACGTAAAATCGAGAAATGCCAAAATGTTCTTACTCTCCAACGGGGTAACTAACTGTGAGAGTTAATTGTTGCTTAGATGTGTCGATATTCTGACAAAGATTCTGTTGCTTACTGTAAGACACGCTAATACATAACTCATACATATACCTTATATTTCTGCTATTTATTTTCTATTCCAGAATTGTTTTAATTATATAGGACCTTATTAATCTTACTATGTTTTATTTCCTGTTATTGTTTACTGCAGTTGATTTTTAATTTTCTCAAGTTTAGAGTTGAGTCGGTATCGAAATTCCTTCTTGTACGTAAAATCGAGAAATGCCAAAATGTTCTTACTCTCCAACGGGGTAACTAACTGTGAGAGTAATCTGACCAATATATTTGCAAACAAAAATGTAGGTCTACGGTGATGGAACTCAGTCATATTTAATAATAAAATAAACTGACACACATTTTGCTGTCGCTTAAAGTTGTTGAAATGTTGTACTGCGACATGTTGCATTTTGGTACATGTTCCTAGAAGGCTATTTTTTAAATGTTGAAAATGCATGGCATTATACCTGTCTCTTATACACATCTAGATGTGTATAAGAGACAGATGTATATATATGTATGTATAGGTGTGTATGCATGGATGTATGTATGCGTGTATATATATATATATAATATATATATTTATATATAAATTAATAAATTACGGTGTATTAGTATTAGCAGATATAGTGCTCGATACTAAGCTGTAGAGCGTTGAATCATATAATATATTCCTCAATGATTTTTTGTGGCTTGGTTGTTACTCTGAGTTTCGCGCCCTAAGGCGGTCATAAGACAAATGACAGCCTAAGGTTGTTACTTGATGTCACCTGTATCTTTCCCTTTTATATCTAGATTTGTTGTGACGGCACTTAGTGATGAGCTCATTTCTTTTGTTAATTGTGTTGGGTTCTTTGTTGCATAGGATTTTTCTTCAATGCATAGGTTACATTGCCATGTTTTGCGCATGTGTGTGTTGTTGTAATAAATAACATCGCCTTAAAGGTAAATGATCAGAAGTTGCTTTTTCTATACGAAACTGTATAATCAAATGAGCTATTGCTTCTTTCTCCGAAAGGCTTAAATAAATGTCAATAACGTAAATGTTGTTTGTATTCCATGGAATAGATATGAGTAAACACATTGCTCGCGAAAAAAATGAAGATTATGATCTTCTTGGTACAAATAACCTTCCTATTACCTATAGTACGTTTTTGTTTGATGATGTTGTGCCTAATACTGGCAAATGTTACTCGAATTACAATGAAAACCGAGTAATATTGGATATTAATCGTGTGTTTTATATGGACACTCGGCTAAGCCAGAATCTGCTGGTATTTTTCTCACGCGACACGGGCAATCGCGACACGGGCGATCTCTCACTCGACACGGGCGATCTCCAAAGCCAGGGGTGTCTTATTGGACTTGAACACGAGTCGTGCAAATGTAGGTTGAACTTGACTATATATATTATTGTAATTTAATCTTTTCTTAGCGATCATGAGTTTATTTTTACCTCACTGAAACTTAAACCATATAAAAATGAACATGACCAAAGAATATTTCGTAACTTTCGCAATTTTAATGAAGAACAATTTCTACAAGATGTAGATAAACTACCTTGGTCAACTATCACACAGATAAGCGATGTCGACATTTGCCTGAAAATTCTACATAATTTCATGAAGATTGTCATAGACAAACATGCACCACTAAGCACCAAGCGTTTTAAGAGGAAACTTCCAGAATGGCTCAAGGATAGGGATGACATTCTCTCACTTATGCACAGACGAGATAATCTTAAGGTTCGTGCCAAATCAAACTCGGAAACTAAAAAGGTCTACTTTAAGCTTCTGTACGCACGAGATAACGAAAGCTCTCTAATCTAACAACTAGGTCTGTAACGATAGCTACTATATTACCCCGAATAGTACTTTGAGGCACTGTTGCTATACGTTACGTTCAACGTGAGTAGTTAATCAAAGTTCTCTTAATTGCATTTTGTACGATCAAGGCCCTCTGGAATTTTAATTTAAAGCATATACTGTTCATGATAAATTGTTATGTTTAAATTAAATAATGTTCAGCATCTTATCAATCATGTGACTGTCAGCACACTTGGTTTTGCTTGGCCGTTTTAATTTTTATTTTTCAAAAATCTGACCAATATATTTGCAAACAAAAATGTAGGTCTACGGTGATGGAACTCAGTCATATTTAATAATAAAATAAACTGACACACATTTTGCTGTCGCTTAAAGTTGTTGAAATGTTGTACTGCGACATGTTGCATTTTGGTACATGTTCCTAGAAGGCTATTTTTTAAATGTTGAAAATGCATGGCATTATACTATTAGTTGAATGATAGGTAAATTATAATTAATTGAGCTAAAACATTCAATGTCGTCAATTCTGTTAATTTAATTGATTAAATTATTAAATTATTTCAACAACAGCTAAATTACTTACAATTTAGTCTGATAATTACAATTTATATTGGAATAAATGTAAGTGTCATTTGTTTATTTTTCAGAAAGAGATATGTCCATTACCACCTCTAAGAAAGTTTATGGACCGACAGGAACAGATGCATGCTTTAACTCAAATGTATTGGCTGCCCAGACACTGGGTCGTGTGTACGTCTTGAGTAAAATCCGTTGCTTTCATTTCTGCGTTTCGACTGCTGGATGTGCTGCATATCAAGTTCAGAAGATGTCAAACATAATCATTTGTGATGCACTTCCGAGCCAAGGAAAGCATGCGCAATATAAATTCGAACATTCAGACTGTAGTATTTTTGAACGTAACTGAGTTTCTTTGTAATAAAGATTCACCGTGAAAATCAGTGGAACCTAAAGACCAACATTATGTCAGATAGTCACATTTTGTTATAACCTATAGTTCACCCTTCAATCCGAGACCACTTCTCAAAGTACCAACTAACCACTTACCTCCTAATACTCAGCCTCTATTTCAAGATTGAGACCAATATTTAGTCTCAAGTGACAAATTGACTTCTAATAGGCCTACAAGACCAATTCGCAATTTCCGATTTCGACTATGCTTTCAGAGACCGTTTCAGCCGTGATCTCAATTCATAGGTTTTAAACCGAACCAGGAAGCACCCCTAACTTTTTAATCATCATCATCATCATCATCATCATCATCATCATCATCATCATCATCATCATCATCATCATCATCATCATCATCATCATCAATCATCATCATCATTATCATCATCATCATCATCATCATCATCATCATCATCATCATTGTCATCATTATTATTATTACTAATGATGGTATTATTGTGTATACTGAATAAATTATTTAATTTTTAACTCAATGTAGGCTAAAAATATACTGTAAACATTGCAATTAGACACGTTCAAATACACTTGAATTGGTTGCTCATCAAAGAATTATGCTTAAATATGCTTTTGAACAGGCATTGAATGGTGTGGCAATGCTACTGAGGTTTAAATAGGCCTGCACTATACAGTATATGTATAATATACTGTATTTTTTCATGAAATGCACATAGAGGGCTGAAAAATATGCGCTATATAAGTGTAGACCTACCATTATTATTAATGTTATTATTGCTCATTTTAAAAAAATACGTTTAAATATGCTTGGTTATTGTTTTTGAACAAGCATTGGGCATAGAGTATATA